GGCGCCCGCCACCACGCCCGGCTAATTTTTGTATTTTGTAGTAGAGACGGGTTTCGCCACATTGGTCAGGCTGGTCTTGAATGCCTGACCTCAGGTGATCTGCCTGCCTTGGCTTCTCAAAGTGCTGGGATTACAGGAGTGATCCACCATGCCCAGCAGCCACTGCGCCCAGTCAATAAACATTAATCATATCTTTTTCTTTTTTTTTTTTGAAACAGAGCCTCACTCTGTCGCCAGGCTGGAGTGCAGTGGCGCAATCTTAGTTCACTGCAACCTCTGACTCCTGGGTTCAAGCGATTCTCCTGCTTCAGCCTCCTGAGTAGCTGGGACTACAGGTGCACGCCACCATGCCCAGCTAATTTTTGTATTTTTAGCAGAGACAGGATTTCACCATGTTGGCCATGATGGTCTTGATCTCCTGACGTGGTGATCCGCCCACCTCTGCCTTCCAAAGTGCTGGGATTACAGGTGTGAGTCTCCGCACCCAGCCAATCATATTATTTTAATAAGAGTGGGGAGCAGATACAATGCACAAAATAAAGTATGATTAGAAAATAAAAACGCTAAATGAAGTCTAAAAAAAAAAAGAAAACAGAAACACTAGTAATAAAGAAAAATTAAAGATGAGAAATTTTACATAAATTAATACTGTTTGATTTTTTTAATGAGCTTTTGAAAGTCCAAGTGCATCAGTGACATCATCATTGAGTCACTAGTGTATTTTTGTGTGAATTTTTTCCAGCAACTGTAAAAAGCTTTTTTTGACTAGGCGCTAGTTGGAGAAATGGTGAGGAGATATTTTTAAGCTAGGTCCAAATATTTTTCCTCTGACTTTCATCTTCAAATCAAATCTCTTGTTCAATAACTTTAAGAAGATCTTTAAAAAAAGAAAAAATTTAGTTTTTTTGGCAGGGACTGCAATCTTTTTATTGTTGATAAACTGTAGTTTCTATTTCCAAAAAACCTCCCAGCATTTGGGGTTTATTTTCATCTACTTTAGTTTAATCACGCATAGATGGAGATCACACACGAGTTACCTGTATGAATTGCTATACTGACATGTTTGTATTCCCTTTGTTCAAAACGCCCTCAAACCAGGGTACATGTTATTCTTGAAATGGAAGCATAGCTTTGTCAACTGTCACTTCCTTCCTCCTCTGGAGGATTGAAGACTTCTGAATAAGTGTGAAATTTCATACAGATGATAACTCTCTGGATAGGTCCCCAAATTTATTGGTTCAGATTTCAAATTGTTAAAGTTATAGCATCAAAAATCTGGAATCCAGTAAACTGGACCTGTGATCTCTAATGAGGCTTGCTCTTCCAGCTTCTGCTTCTTGGCTCTTCTGTCTGCCTGGGGCTGGACTGAACCAGATCCGAGGACACTGGCTGAACTGGCCTTTAGCTCAGGATGGAGAGCAGGGAGGGACATGCGGCTGCACCACCATTGCCCTTAGCAACTCTCCCGCAGCACTATCGGTGCCCCTTTGACTGGAACTGCTCTGTCGCAGGGGTGCTCATAACCTGGGCTGTCCCTTGAGACAAGGACCCTGGGGGAGAAGGGAGCTGCACCTTGTTGGAACAGAGACAGCCCTGGGACACTCTCCTGGCAGGTGCCTGCCAGGCCTCAAAGCGAACTATACTAGCCACTCCTGGGTCCCCAGGACCCAAACGCAGCTCTGGTGAGCTCGGCCCTAGCCCTGTGGCCTGCCTGACATCTGCCCTGCCATCCTCCCAGGGACAGTGTCCCCTCCTCCATACTCGGATTCCTCCCTGTTTCCCAAGCCCAGTGGCTCCGTGTCAGCTCCATCTTCTTTGACCTTCTCCCTTCTGCAGCCTTTGGTCCCGTGGCCCCCTCCTGTGCCTCTCACTTTCATAGTAACAGAGTCATAGAGTCATTTTTAGCTGGCCGCGGAGTTCTCCTAGGCTGTGAACCATTTCTTTAACTTCAATCTAGATTCTGTTTTTGCACTTTTTTGTTTGTTTGTTTGTTTCAGATGGAGTCTCCCTCTGTCACCCAGGCTGGAGTGCAGTGGCATGATCTCAGCTCACTGCAACCTCTGCCTCCCGAGTTCAAGCGATGTTCCTGCCTCAGCCTCCCAAGTAGCTGGGACTGCAGGCACGTGCCATCACACCCTACTAATTTTTGTATTTTTAGTAGAGATGAGGTTTTGTCATGTTGGCCAGGCTGGTCTCGAACTCCTGGCCTCAGGTGATCTGTTGGTCTTGGCCTTCCAAAGTGTTGGTATTACAGGTGTGAGCCACCACGCCCAGCCAAAAAATGCTTTATATTAAAGTAAGAATTTTAGAGGGATCCATTTCCAAGGTTTTCTATATTTTAATGGCCGCTGCTTGGCCTTTGATTTTTTTTGGCACCAGGCACCTTAGTGGAAATAAGGCAGGACAGGTTCAGGAGTCCTGGGTCTCTGGCCGGCTCTCCCACTTGCTGCTGAGTCCTTCCCCTTCCCCAGGCCTCATTTCCACATCTGTGAGATGAGCAGGTTAGCCTAGATCACAAATCCCCAGCAATTATGTTAAAAAATGAGAAACATGTACTCATCATACGTATATATTCATTTATAAACTGTATACATTTACTACTATACTAAGCTGATACAATATCAAAATAAAAAAATTAAGGACAAGCTAAAAACTACATAAAATATTTAACAAACAATTCTCCCTTTAATAGGTATAGTAAGATTTCTTCCTTGCACTATGCTATTGTTTGCATATAACTAATAATATTGTAAGAGAAAGCAATGTGGTTGGATATGCTTAATTATTCTTTGAAATCTTGCTTTAAGATTGAGCTAGAGCCATTCAGAGGTCTGGTTCTGTTCAGGTTTTTTTTTTTTTTTTTTTTAATAGCTGTCGTAACTGATCCAAAGAGAGGAAATGTATCATGGGCTGTATGTCTTAAATCACGGCATTGATTTTCAACCCCATTCACCAATTAAAAGCTTTTGATTGAAATTAAGCTAGTAACTGTCTGTCTTCCCTTATGTCATCAGTCAGTGGCTCTTACACTAAGTGGAAAGTATTACATTTTTATATTTTTAACAAATGGATTCAAAATCCACTGACATTCTTTATTTGGACAATTTCCAAACAGGTCAGACGAGTCTGTTTCTATATTTTCAGGTATGTAATGTAAGCATTTCTATAGGTGATACACATGTTTTTAACCACAAAAATCCCATTTTAAAAATATTCTCTTCAAAGCATGAGTTTCTTTAGAAAAGCAATAACGCTAAAATGAGTCACCTTTACCTTGAAAAGTCAAATGAAATTGAGTTCATTTTCTGGTGGATATTTGCTAGGTAGCATACTGCCATCAGTTACTTGTCACCATGGAAAGGTCAGCAAATTTGGAACACTTGTCTTTTTGTGCTAGGAAAACATATAACTCATCTTTAAGTTTGATAGTGCTTTTAAGAACTCTTCCAAGAGCTAAGCAACAAACCTCCATGTGGCTCAGAAGATTTTCAGAAGATTTTTTTTTTTTTTTTTTTTTTTTTTACAAATCATTGTATAAATTTTACTTTTTTTTTTTTTTTTTTTTTTTTAAGATGGGAGTTTCACTCTTTTTGCCCAGGCTGGAGTGGAATGACGCAATCTGGGCTCACTGCAGCCCCTGCCTTCTGGGTTCAAGCGATTCTCCTGCCTCAGCCTCCTGAGTAGCTGGGATTATAGGCATGCGCCACCACGCCCAGCTAATTTTTTTTTTGCATTGTTAGTAGAGACAGGGTTTCACCACGTTGGCCAGGCTGGTCTCGAACTCATGACCTCAGGTGATCCACTCGCCTCGGCCTCCCAAAGTGCTGGGATTACAGGCATGAGCCACTGCGCCTGGCCCAGTTTTACTATATTTTAACTCTTTTTTTTTTTTTTTAAAGAACCATTTCAATGCCTTCTGCTGTACTTTAGGTATTTCTGGGCTTACCTTCCTGACTGCAGTAGCCTGCAGGAAATCCTGCAGGGAAATCATTTAGCATGTGTCGCCATCCTGCACCCTCACCCCAGAACTCTTCCATCATGGAGCAGCCACCCCCTCCGTGAGTACCTTCACCTTTCCCCAGCAAGGGTGTTTTCATTAAAGACATTCAGTTACTATTCAGTCCATGTCTCTGTTTCCTTTAGTGGCTTGCAGAAATGTGGTTTTTCACATACAGAATCTAGGAAAACCATATTAGAGAATCTATACCTTTATTTAACTATTTAGCAAAGCTTTCACAGTGTGAAATTTGTTCGAATACTTATATCTCTGTATCTTCAGCAATATTTTCTCTGCATCTTCCAACGTGCTCACATGTTGTGTCATAGGTACTATTCGTGCTACCAGCAGCTACCACATCAACTGGCCTGTTTTCAGTCTCTATAAGACATGCTCTGTGTGTGTGTGTGTGTGTGTGTGTGTGTGTGCAGAGTCATGTGACATGGATCTAAGGAGTGTATTGGTGTCCTGGCAACCACCTCCCTCCCATCACTACCAGCAAAGACAAGGGGAGGTCCCCTGGGAAAGGAAGCTTGGTATCTCATTCCCTGGCTGGCTGTGCGCTTGGGCAGTGAGCCTGTTGGCTTGCCTTGCACCTGCCTGAACACAGAAAAAGAAAACTGATGCAGGGCTTCTTGTTATGTCTGCCTGGATACTCATGATTTCTACCCCATAGAAAAGGACTTGTATTTAGAGTAGGAAAGGTTTCAGCTCTGACATTCTCTTGTTCATTTGCGTTTTCATTATAACTATTATCTTCAATTGTGGTGTCCTTGCAGGAATCTTGTGAAGTCACATATCCATCTGCAAGAGTCATCCCCAGCACCCCATCATGCTCAGGGTCCTGGCTCAGTGAGCCACCATCTACTCTGAGATTTAGATTGTGTCTGTTGTTTTCATCTCAAACCCAGGACACAGTGTTTGTAACAGATGAGAGAGGCCCAGGGAGACACAGCCCCGAACCTGATAGACCTCCTCCCTTTTCCTCCCTCCTCACCCACAGGTCAACCCTTTCAGAGACCGTATCTGCAGGGTGTTCTCCCACAAAGGTGTGTTCTCCTTTGAAGATGTGCTGGGCATGGCATCTGTGTTCAGCGAGCAGGCCTGCCCAAGCCTGAAGATTGAGTACGCCTTTCGCATCTATGGTAGGTGCTGTGGCGGACTGAGGGGTGAAGGGTGGAAGGGCCATACACAACATACCATATCTGGACTCCATCATCAGTTCATTGATGGATGGTGTTAACTGGGGTTTGCTGGGGTATCTGTGGGTATGTGTCATATTTTGCATGTACCATGGAGTGAAAAAAAAAAAGATTGAGAATGACAGGGTCAATGGACAGACTCCCCTCCATGTCATCAGAGAGCAATGGAGTCATTGGCCTTGATATTTGGTGTTAGTGTGTGGTGTGTGGGCAGGCGAGAGAGAGAGAGAGAGAACCACATATGCATGTAAAGGATTTATGCTTATTTGGCAGAAGGAGCATTGGATAGGAAATTAAGGAAATTTGAACAATCTTGGACAAATCACTTCACCTTTCTGGGGCTCAGTTTTCTCATCTGTAAAATGAAGGGATAGAGAGAGATAATCTCTGAGGTCCTTTGACATTTTTTGGTCTCTGACTGTCTCGGGTAGTCAAAAGACTCTGCTGAAGTTCTGCTTTTCACCAGGCAAATGTCTGCTTAGCACAGCTGGGATGCAAGGGAATTCTCAAAAGGAATCAAAAGGAAAGAAAGAAGTCTTAAGATGCTTTCAAACAAACCAGGTGCAAGTCTTTAGTGCATCCTGATAACTCTTTGGCCCCAAGGACTTGCACATTTAGACTTGTTCATTTGCATCTCACGTTCCTTCCTTTCCTGCCAGTTCCTCCCCAGTCTCCACATGGTGGACACCATCTCATTTCTGCCTCACCCAAGTGGGATGTGGACAGAAGACAGTAGAAGAGCTTTAAGCCAGATGGACTTACGAGGCCTCAGTTTTTTCATCTGTAAAAAGGACTTAATATTTTTGTATCCCGTACGTCCTCAGGTTCAGCATTCAGTAAGCACACGTGAAATCACAGAGTTCCCTCCTGAGAATGGCTGAGTAAACTCCTATCATATGGTCACTCCTGCAGATAGCAACTATAAAACTCTAAACTAAATACAAAAATCAACTAGCTGATGATATTGGAAAGCTATCGAAAGCGAGATGTGTTCTAGAGAGAGCTGATGCCTGGAAGAAGGAAACGGTAGAAGATGGGTTTTCCTTCACCAACCTTTTTTATTTTTAACTTTTCTGTCCTGAAAGTAGGCTTCAGTGAGTGGAAACACTGGACTCATGCAGGCTGATGGAAACACTGGACTCTTTCTGACTTGAAGAGCCGAGAGTTTGGGGCACACACAGCCCCTGCAAAGTGAGGGAGAGCCTATGAAAGAGAAAGGGAGTCCAAATTTTGCGTGTAAACTATGCCCGTATCTCTTTCTGACCTCTACACCACAAACACGAGGGCAAAGTCAAAGCAGCTCAGCTAAGGATAAAAGAACTAAATTGAGATTTGAGCTTCTACTACCTTTTAACCAGATCCACGAGTGACAGGGTTTGCACTTTGAGTCCAAATCAATTGCCTGCTAAAACCAAAAATTCAGCAATCTTTGGAGAAATACAGAGTCTCTACAACAAAACATTTATAATGTCCAAGAAGCTATTCAAAATTGTACACGATGTACAAAAATACTTTTTAATTGATGAATTCTCAACAATGGAGACTGACTGACATGACCCAGATGTTGGAATTAGCTAATAAAGATTTTAAAACAGCTATTATAACTGTATTAGCCAGGATTCTGCAGAGAAACAGAACCAATAGGCTATTTATGCATGTATATGTATATGAGTGTATGTGTGTGTGTATATATTTGTGTGTGTTTACATGTGTGTATATATATACACTTACATATACACACACACACCCCTATCTCCACATATATATGTAGAAAGAGAGAGAGATTTATTCTAGGAACTGGCTCATGTGATTACGGAGGCTGAGAAGTCCCATGATCCGCTGTCTGCAAGCTGGAAAGCTAAGAAAGGTGGTGGCGTAATTCATTCTGAAGGTCCAAGAACCAGGAGCATCAATGTCTGTGTATGGGAGAAGATGGATGTCTCAGCTCAGATTGTACAAATTCATCCTTCCTCCACCTTTTTGTTCTGTTGGGTCCTCCATGGATGGAACAATGTCCAGTTGGTGAGGGTGGATCTTTACTCAGTCTATTGATTCAAATGCTAATCTCTTCCAGAAACACCCTCACAGAGATACCCAGAAAGAATGTGTTGCCAGCTATCTGGGCACCCTTAGCTCAGTCAAGTTGACACATACCATTAATCATCACAGTATTCATGCCCAAGGATGTAAAAACTGCTCGTAACAAATGAAAAGATAGGAAATCTCAGCAGAGAAGCAGAAATTATAAGAAAGAATCAACTGGAAAATATAGAACTGAAAAGACATCTGAAACAAAAATTCACTGGATGAGCTTAACGGGAGAATTGCGATAACAGAGGAGTCAGGAAACTTGAAGATAGATCAATAGAAATAACCTAATCTGAAGAACAGAGAGAAAAATTACTCAGGGAAAGGAGAACAGAGCCTCAGAGACATGAAGGACAATAGAAAGCTCTAACATGTATCTAGGTGGAGTCTGAGAAGGAGAGGAGAGAGTGAATGTGGCAGAACAGATATCTGAAGACCTAATGGCCCCAAATGTCCTACATTTGATGTAAGACACAGATTTACGGTGAACTCCAAGCAGGATATGTAGAAATCAAATCACATACCCAAATTAAGTTGGCTTCGTAGGCCCCACCTGTCTATACCAGCTTTCCTCCTTCCTTCCCCCAAGTATTTCTGGGAGTCTCCAGGGGGATCCCAATGCATCCAGGGAGTTGGAGCCCTCTAGCCGCTGCTCCTCTCGGCCAGGCCTCCCACAGGTGGCAGCTGTGTTGGCTCAAGCCCCCATCAGTGCTCCTCTGGCTGGGGTCGCTCCTCTGGAGGATGCCAGCCTAGGCTTGGTGTTCCCGTCTTAGCCAAGAGTCTTTAGGTTGCAAACCACAGAAACTTACCTATGTAAAAGCCACTGATAAGAACCAGCACTAGATGAGTTTTTCATTGTGTAAGAAATTACCACAAGCTTAGAGGCTTTAGATAACATACATTAGTAACCTCACAGTTTCTGTGGGCTAGAGTCCAGGCATGACTTAGTTGGGTCCTCCTCTTAGGGTTTCACAAGCTGCCATCAAGCTTCCGGCTGGGGTGCCTTCTCACCTGGAGGGCACTTGACTGGCGGAGTCTGCTCCTGAGCTTGCTCACGTTGTTGGCAGAATTTACTTCCTTATGTCTGCAGGACTTAGGGCCTTAACTTCTTGCCGGCTCTCAGTCGGAGGTTGCCCTCAGCTCCTGGACACCTGGGCCTCTCAACCTGGCCACTTGCTTCTTTAAAGACAGCCAGCAGGAGAGACTCTTGAGTCACCCCACTGGCAAGATGGAGTCATAAAAGACAGCGTGTTGGTGGAAGTGACAGCCCATCAATTTTGCCAAGTTCCATTGGTTACAAGCAAGTCACAGTTCCCACCCACACTCAAGGGAGTTGGGGATTATACAAAAGCCTGAGCACCAAGACGTGGGGCTCTTGGGAGAGAGGTCACTAGAGTTCATCTGCCAAGAGCATTATGGAGCCCATGGTGGAAGTGAGGCAGGACTCCTGGGGCCCTGGGGCACAGCTGGATGAGAGTCAAGAAGCCAGACAGCTGTGGTCTCCTCTCCACGGCTGCCTCGTCTCTTGTCTCTGCCTCTCTCTGTGGGCTTTCCTTCTCCTTCTGCAGATCTGCTATGCCTCTGTGCCCACAGGCCAAAGATGACTCCCCGGCCCCCACATGGGCTGCAGGCTTCACTCTGAGTAGCCACCAGCATTTCTGTTTCTCCCTTCTGTTTTCTCACCCAGCCAATGATCTAGCTTCCCCTGGGATAGGTGACCAGCCTTGCCCAATCACCTGCAGCCAAAAAGAAGCAGAGTTGTGAAACAAGCATGGCTCCGGGGGCCTGCCACTGGGGTGGGGACACTTCTCAGAGATGGTAGAGCGTAGGCTGGGCAGAGGCCACAAAAGACGTCTTCCTCCGCTGACTTTCTGTGGTTTCCTGAGCTAAATAAACAAAAACACTCAAACCCTTCAGGAGAGAGGTGAGCAGCAGGTTCTCCTTGGGCTTCAAGGCACAAGCTAAATCGTGTTCAGCTGTGACGTGGGGAAAACACTCACTGTCCCAAGAGGTCAGACTGAGAGCCTCAGGGCAGATCAAGGACTAGACAACGCAATATCCCCCACAATGCCTTTGTATCTTCCTCCCCCGACTCTCTCCAGGCCCCTTGGAGCATATAGGTTCCTTCCTCCAGCCTAAGCACAAACACAAAAAGCTCAAAGCCTTCATGCAAATCAGCTGTGCAAATAGACGCCCAGGGGCTCATAAATGCCCAAGCTTCATCAAATAGACTCAGACGAACCTGAATTCTCTCAGGGCTCAGAAGGTTTCTTTACAGAGCTGTCAGCAAGATTAGAGATGGGACACGTGGATCCTGAGCCTGCGTAATAACTCAAGGAGGGAGTGGTCCACAGTGAAGGATGAAGAGGGATCAAAAAAGAGGGGAAAGGAGACAGAAAGGGAAAGGAGAAGGCAGGCATGGTAACTGTCATGGTGATGATTCTCAGCAAAAGCCCAAAGATGGAACTCAATGCTCCAGCCTCTTGCTACCCGCGGTGTGGTCCACGGACCAGCAGTATCAGTACTGCCAGGAAGCTTATCAGAAATGCAGAGCCCCAGGCCCCATTCCACCCACTGGATCTGAATCTGCATTTTAGCAAGATCCCCAGCAGATTCCTCTGCGCTTTAACGTCTAAAAAGCATTGCTCTAACCCACTGCTTTTCACACTTGGCTGTACATTGAATCACCTGTGAGTTTTTTGTTTTTTTTGTTTTTTTTTTTAAATACAGATGCTTGGGCCCCAGCTCCAGGGACTTGATGGAATGGTATTGAGTATGTCCCGGGCTTGGGCTTTTTGGAAGCTCCCTGGATGGCTCGAATGAGCAGCAGACTGTGAGAGCTGTTGCTCTAAACT